GTTCTTGTCACCAATATTTTATCTTTATACCTGGAGCCAAACTAACTGAGCACAGTGACAAACATGAGCACAGTGCCAAACATGAGCACAGTGCCTGGGGGTAAGCAAAGTGCCTAACATATCGCCAGACGCTTACATTAACAGAATAATTTCGGCAGCCAATGTTCTTCTGGCAAATCTAAGAGTGGCCTTCAGGAATCTCAACAGTCATTCCGAGTGTTATATACCACATGTCAGGCCCATCTTGGAGTACGCAGCACCAGTATGGTACCCACACCTGAGGAAGCATGTTAAGAAACTCAAGAAAGTGCAGAAGTATGCAACAAAACTAGTTCCAAAGCTATGAAGTATGAACTACGAAGTAAGGTTGATGGAATTGAATCTAATGACTCTGGAGAGACAAGGGGAACATGATAACAACATACAAAATGCTCAAAGGAATTGACAGGGCAGAGAGTGACAGGCTGTTTGAGAGGCAGGAAACAGGTATACCTGGAACCTGGAATAATAGCCTAGTATTAAATTTTTATGCCCAGGTATTAAATTCTTTAATACTCAGATATATTTTTAATATCTAGTTATTAAATTTGTTAAAAAAACAGAGTATTCCAAAAATACCAGAGCATTAAAAAAATTCTGGGGTATTAAAATTTTAATTATATTAAAAATTAATTATATTAAAAAAATAATATTCGGATATTACAAATTTAACACCCGGATGTTGAAGAATTTAATGCCCAAGAATTAAATTTTTAGCACCCTTGTATTTAAAATAATTAATACCCTGGTATTAAAAATATAATATTTATGTATTAAGAATTTAAAATCCCGGGTATTAAAGAATTTAATGCTTATTCATTGTTTCGGAAATGGCAGCCACTTTAGTTCGATGAAAGGAAAAGAAAGCAGCTCCAGTCTCTCGGATAAAGAGCCCTTCATACCTCTTAATGACATACCCATAAACTAGCTTCGATAGTACTTGGGTTGAGGATCAAGACAGCTGCGCAAGTCTTGGTTAGTCACGGCTGAGCACAAGACAGCTGCACAAGTCTTGGTCAGTCACGGCTGAGCTGAAAACAGCTGCACAAGTCTAGGTGACTATGAACAGCAAGTGTTAGGAAACATGCTCGATTGCTAGTGCACTCAACTCACACATTGAGGTCTGGGGGTCGATTCCCAGTACAAGTAATAATGATATATCTTTATTTCTACACGTACATATACAAGGTATACAGACCATAGCTGACATCAATGACTTTCTACTACTATATAGAAAGCCGCTTGTTATGCTGAGCACTTAGGGCAAATTAGGTCAATTTTATCCCAGGATGCGACTCCCACCAGTCCAATAACACCCAGGTACCCATTTTATGTTGATGGGTGAACATGGACAGCAGATGTCTTACGGAAACACGTCCCTAATGTTTTCCAGCCGTACCGAAGATTCGAACTCCGAACCTCAGTGTGCGATAGCGATCGAACTACGGGACACCCTGTAAGTGGTAACATTAGGACGTGTTTCCTTAAGACACCTGCTGTCCGTGTTCAACTATCAGTAAAATAGGTTTCTGGGTGTTAATGGACTGGTGTGGGTCGCATCCTGGTTCAAAATTGACCTAATTTGCCCAAAATGCTCTGCATAATAAAGGACTTTCTATAAAGTATGTCATTGATGTCAGCTATGGTCTTGTATACCTTGTACATGTACTTGTAGAAATAAAAAATTATTATTATTATTATTATTAGTAGTAGTAGTAGTAGTAGTAGTAGTAGCAGCTCCTGGTTCTCTCTCTAGGTTAACAGTCTATCTACTTCACGAGGCTACATCTAGCCATTACACCATCATGCTGATACTTATATTTTATAATGTAAACTCAGTTTAGACACCTCTCAGTGTCTAGCCTTGATAGCTAAGATAATTAAGAAGGACCCAGATCCAACAAGTGACATTGATTTCATTGGGCTAACGAAACATAAATCTGCAGAATGCACTACATACATTTATGTCCATAATTTCTATGTGCCCTCAAACCAATTCTAGAACATTTATGTTTCTCTTTATAAAATCAATAAAAGATTATTTTAAATGAAAGCTTACGTATTATTGCTGCCCTAATATTACCAAATATAAAATAGTTAACGTATAAAAATTTCATTTTCTATGGTAACTTATAGAAGAAAATGTTTTACATTCAGCAATTTTATAGATAACTCTATATTTCAAAATGAATATATTTTTACCCCTTAGTAAATAAGTAGGTTTATTTAGGCACAGGTACACATAAGTGTAATTTCATGACTTAACTATTCTATACATTTAATACTTCGAAAGCCTGCTATTCTGTCAATATTTTGTTTTTTAGATAGTTGAATTCACATGCTAAGAAGTGTTATCTCTATGGTCTGAGCTTGCTACCATCTGCAGCTCATAAGACTGCCATCCCCACGAGCCCCTTTGAGGCGGGGTAGATGGCAGACCAGAGGCCTAGCTTCTCCCTACGAGCCCCGTGAGGGCGGGGAATGTGGCTAGGCCTGGGGACACTTGGTCCCAAAGATGAGGAGGTACTTGTACCTCCTCCCATGGGAGACTTAAGTCTCGAGACACTCCCCAGATAGGGAGCCAAGGCCGGGTCACCACTACTTGGAAAAGACCCGGGCCGGGAGAATACCGGCGAATAAAAAAAAAAAAAAAAAGTGTTATCTTGTACCAGCTCGTCTAAAAGCACCTAGAAAGTCAGTGCATCGTCAAGGACTATCTGTCTTATTTCCATTGGGGTTCTTTAATCTTGTCCCCCAGGATGCGACCCACAACAATCGACTAATATCCAGGTACCTACTTACTGCTAGGTGAACAGGGACAGCAGGTGTAAGGAAAGACGCCCAGTGTTTCCTCCCGTGCCGGGGATTAGACTACGGACACTTAGTGTGTGAGGCGACAGCGTTGTCGACCGATCCACGGGCTCTCCTTACCTGTCGTAAGATACTCTGACAATATCTTTGTTTTACTACCCAACGCGTTTTTATATCCAGACCGTCTCCAACAAAAGTCATCTATGAAGTTCATATTTGAACTCGAAAAAGAGGGAAGATTCCCGTTTGTTGACGTCTGCCCATGCAAGTCTACGGTGCCCCGTGGCCTGGTGGCTAAAGCTCTCGCTTCACATGGAGAGTGTCTGCTTTCGATTCCCAGCAAGGATAGAAACATTGGGAGTGTTTCTTTACACTGGTTGTCTATGTTCACCCATCAGTAAAATGAGTAACTGTGTGTTAGTGGACTGGTGTGGGTCGCATCCTGGGACAAAACTGACCGAAATTTGCCCGAAATGCTCTGCATAACAAGCGGCTTTCTGTATAATATTATGCCATTGATGTCAGCTATGAGAAGGAAAAAAAAAAGTCTCAGCGGAAGCTGGCTGCATTTGGTCTTAGAAATAATAATAATAATAAAAAAATCACATCAATCAAAAGTTAAATGAGGGCCCATGAGCTAGAACTCATCCATGACAACACAAATAAATAATTACACATCAGAATAAATTTATCAGAGAGATAATTTAAACATCAGAACTGTACAGTATTCCTTATTTATTCAGAACAGATTTTAATTGCTACAGAGTGCACAAAAAAAAAAAAAACAGTGGAAATAAATACGTATTCTCACACAAATTAAAAATAAATTAATAATGACTCTACAAACCAAACAGATAGCATTGCAATAATTTTTTTGGTTACGAAAAACACTACAATAGATCAAAGTCAACTTACATATACATTACTTGTGTAATGGATAAGTCGTGGTAAGTCTTCACTCTATATTTTGCAATAAATTTGTGTGGTAGATTTGCAGAAAATGTACTAGCGGTATTTTTAAAACACGTACATAAATAATTCGCCATTAAACGAGCCTGGAATACTATACAGCAATTGTTGATACTTTATTAAGTAATTTAGTCTGGGAGACTCTTCAAGTGACTTACACTTTGTTAACCTAATTTATCCTATAAGTTTCTTGTATATTATTACACTATAACTTTATTTCTTTTCTGCAGTATACAAAATATAGCTCACATCTAATAAAATACTGATTAACAATATTTTATTACCATACGATCTATTGAACATAATAATACTTTCCAAGGATGTTGCAGTAGTCGATAAACCGTAACGTCGTCGTAAGCTTCTCTCTTTTATGTGCGGGTTATTTGTGTATCGTTCCAGTCACGGTATTGTGTCTTTTTGGTTATTTACGACTGGTTTTCTTGTTGTATTATCTAAGGAAACAATACTTAGAGATAGTTTACTGTATCTGTTGTGTTGTTCCAGGAGTCGACAGAGTTCCTGCTGGTGTTTAAACATATCTTTGTGTATTCATTTTCGATGAGCAACATTTTTTTCCAATTGCTGAAGTGGCTGAGTTTAATGTACTTATAATATCCATGGTAGTTGCCTATGTTAAAGTATCCAAGGTGGTTATATTCTCGTTGTATTTGTTGTAATATCCACAGCGGTTATAATTGTCATAGAATCCATAGTAGTTGTATTAGTTGCAGTTTAGCTGTTGTATACAAGGCGTTGTATATTTATTATAAAGAATGGATGCGTGCTCATGATTCCTCAGTGCTAAACTATTTTAATATATGAGGATTTGATCTACCTCTTGTACTGACCAATCTTTGATTTATTTAACTTTTAGTTACATAGTGCTTATGAAAGGTAAGATCTGTGTAGACAGTAGAAGAATATATTGATTTCATTATCAACTCAGCTGTGCCAGTCATGGTCCTAGTGCCAAAATAGTTATCACTGAAGAAGAAAGCAGTTGTTCTCTTTATAGAAAGTGTTTTGGGAATTAGACAAGTTGCCTCTCTCGTTCAGGTAGTGGGTGGTCTTATAAACGTTGTTGTGGTTGTAGTTGTTGTTGTTTTCGTCGAAGTAGTGGTAGATGTCGTTCTTGAAGTAGTTGTTTACGTTGATGTCTTCAAAGAAGTGGTGGACGTCGTTGTTAAGTGGTAGTCGTCGTCGTAGTGGTGGATGTCGTCGTTGTTGAAGTGGTAGTCGACGTTGTCGTTGTCGAAGTAGTGGTAGATGTTGTCGTTGTTGAAGTGGTAGTCGACGTTGTCGTTGTCGAAGTAGTGGTAGATGTTGTCGTTGTTGAAGTGGTAGTCGAAGTTGTCGTTGTCGAAGTAGTGGTAGATGTTGTCGTTGTTGAAGTGGTAGTCGACGTTGTCGTCGTCGAAGTACTAGTAGACGTTGTCGTCGTCATTACCGTGCTGGTTGATGTGGTTGTCGCCGGACACGGGGTTAAACTGTATGTCACAACACTTGGTATTTGGGTCGTGGCTCCTCCCAATCCTTGAATTTGAGTAGATAGACTGCCAGCTTCTGTATATATAACACTGTTTTCAGCGAACAGAATGGCCAGAGTAACCTGACAGGTGCAAAGAAGTTGCTGAGCAGCTGAGGAAAGTGCAGAAGTTACTGGCGTAGACCCGTTTATTACCGAATTTGTTATACCGATGACAGTTTTCTGTGCGGTAACCATTTGCACCGTCAACGAGTTTATAAGACCTGGGTTTCTGTCATAGGCTGCACCAGGAAAATACGATAGGGTATTTCCAATACCGTTCAGGTCATCATTTACGCTTCGACGTTTTCTCCTCTTCCCAAGAGTGGCAAGAATACTCAACAGAGTTGACAGTTGAGTAGCAAGGCTCTGAATTGTCACAATAGAAGTATTTATGGCTGTGAGAACTTGGATTAACGCTTTCAGATTACTAATTATAACACACAAAGACCCAGAACATGTAGTAGTAGTTGTTGAAGTTGTGGTTGTCGTGCTCGTTGTGCCTGTCGTAGTTGTAGTTGTCGTGCTGGTCGTAGTTGTAATTGTCGTGCTGGTTGTAGTAGTTGTCGTGCTGGTCGTAGTAGTTGTCGTCGTGCTAGTTGTAGTTGTAGTTGTGCTTGTCGAAGTTGTAGCTGTCGTGCTTGTTGAAGTTGTAGCTGTTGTGGTCGTCGAAGTAGCAGTGGTCGTGCTTATTGACGTGGTAGTTGACGAACACGGCGTCACACTAAACGACACAACACTTGGTATTTGCGTTGTCGTCCCTCCCAACCCTTGAATTTGAATTGATACACTGGTGGCTTCACCCCATATAAGAGAGTTTTCATTAATGAGAGTGATTAGAACGGATTGACAGATGCAATAAACTTGCTGAGCAGCTGAGATGAGTCCACTAGTGGCTGGCGTCGTCCCATTAATTACTGAGGTTATTATATCTGGCATACTCTGTGTTGCACTAATCACTTGTAACGTCAGTGAATTTATGATAGCTGAGTTCCTGTCATAAGCTGCAGCTGGAAAATCTTCTATGACGTTCCCAATGCTTAGAATGTTATCAGATATTGCACGACGTTTTCTTCTCCCCCCTAATGCATTAGCAAGGGCGGTCAAGAGCGCTGCAAGTTGAGTTACAAGCGTCTGAATTGAAACAATTGCACTGTTCAAGGCAATAATTACTTGAAGGAGTTGTCTGAGAATAGTAATTAAGGGACATAAAGGTCCAACACATGTAGTAGTGTAGTCGTAGACGTAGTAGTTGAAGTGCTGGTTGACGTAGTAGTTGAAGTGCTGGTTGAAGTAGTTGTTGATGTGCTGGTTGAAGTAGTTGTCGATGTGCTGGTTGATGTTGTGGTGGAGGTGCTGGTTGTAGTGGTAGTCGATGTGCTGGTTGTAGTGGTAGTCGATGTGCTAGTTGACGTAGTGGTTGACGTAGTGGTTGACGTAGTGGTTGACGTAGTGGTTGACGTAGTGGTTGAAGTAGTGGTTGAAGTAGTGGTTGACGAAGTGGTTGAAGTGGTGGTTGAAGGAGTGGTTGAGGTAGTGGTTGAGGTAGTGGTTGACGTAGTAGTTGAAGTAGTGGTTGAAGAAAGAGATGAGGTGCTGGTTGAAGTAGTAACATTGACTGATGTTGTAGTTGTGCTACTTGTTGTTGTTGCTGTTGTTGTTGTTGTAGTTGTTGTTGTTGTGGTTAGGCTACTTGTTGTGGAACTCGTGCTTGTTGAAGTAGTTGTAGTTGTGCTAGATGTTGGGATACTCGTTGTAGTTGTGGTAGTTGTTGTAGTTGAGGTAGATGTAGTTGTGTTAGTGGTAGTTGTGGTAGTGGTGGTTGTGGTAGTGGTAGTTGTGGTAGTGGTAGTTGTGGTAGTGGTAGTTGTGGTATTTGGAGTTGTGGTAGTGGTAGTTGTGGTAGTTGGAGTTGTGGTAGTGGTTGTTGTTGGTGTATTTGGAGTTGTGGTAGGGTAGTTGTGGTATTTGGAGTTGTGGTACTGGTAGTTGTGGTATTTGGAGTTGTACTGGTAGTCGTGGTACTGGTAGTCGTGGTATTTGGAGTTGTGGTACTGGTAGTTGTGGTAGTGGTAGTTGTGGTATTTCGAGTTGTGGTACTGGTGGTTGTGGTACTGGTAGTCGTGGTACTGGTAGTCGTGGTACTGGTAGTCGTGGTACTGGTAGTCGTGGTACTGGTAGTCGTGGTGGTCGTACTCGTCGTCGCTAAAACAAATAGAATGTATCAAGAGACATTTTCATATACTTTGGATAAAAAGAAAATTGATAAAAACTAATATTTTTTCTCTTTACTAAACATTTTAGACATATTACCCCTAAACATTTGTTCTTTTCATTAACTCGTAATGAAAATTCTGCCTCTGGAAAGCTACTCTTCTCCATTGCAAAATTTCGCTATGTGAAATAAAGGAAAACCATCTTTAACTTGTGATGTTTTTGTGTATTAATGTTAAGAGAAAACTAGAGGAGGGTTTGTTTTTCAGTTGGTAATTTGGGCATTTGAAATAAAATACGCAGTGAATAAAAATGTTTTTAACTGTCTGATATACTGTGATATGTGTTGCACACACACACATACACACACACACACACACACACACACACACACACACACACACACACACACACACACAAATTCCTCTTCCATACAGAAAGTTTTCTCTACACCTTGAACTCTGAAGACATCACGTTGCTCTAAGTTCACTCCTTCACACACCGTAATAATGTAAAGACACAGTAATGAAGTCTTACCTGGATAACAACAGAAGCACTTGGCTCCCTTGCAGTCATCCTTGTCGACCCATCCCTTACAAGACTTCTTCTTATCTACACAATAACCACCACCAGCAGTACAGTGCGTCGTGGGCTTGCAAGCCTTGGCACAGCAGACACAAGTTTTCTTCATGCAACCCTTGGGGATCTGTCGCTCCTTCACGTCGCACTTTGTCTTACACACACCCTTGTGTTTAGTACACTTCTTTTTTGGTTTAGCTGCGCAAACTGTTAAGAAAAAAGGGCTTTATTAGACACCAACAATACATCTCATGTACACAATCTCCTCATACATAAATGCACTCTCATGAACGTCATTAGTGTACATGTAAAGTTGTTATCCTTTATATTCCAGGCATAAATTAACTGGAGCAACAGACTGAAAAGAGAAATAATAAATAATGAAAGCACTCGTGGTTCCTCCAGGGATGCTGTGGGACCAAAGCTGAGTAACAATAACTTTCACACATGAGTGGTAAGACTTTTATGAGGGAAAGATTATAAGAAAAATGTGAAAAATACCATAAGAGAGTTGTAACTACATACCCGGAAACAGTGTACAGGTACAAATTAGAACGGAAACTGAGCATAAATGTAGAAATTAGAAGAATACAAATTAAGAACCAGGATAAATGTACCTGAAGCCAAAAAGCAAGTGATTTTTTCAAAGATGCACTTGAAATTATGCCTTCACAGCCGCAGCGAAGACTGACTAAACAAAATAGGAAGTAAAGTAGCTGACAGAGGTATATCCGTGAGACTTGACAAAATATCCTCTTGGGAACTCTCTGAATGAGCTGTGAAACAGGACGACATTCCGGAGATATTAAATGACAGTCCTATATCACTAAGATTTTTCCCTGTACAAAATAATGGTTATCAGGATAAGGATACTGTAGCATCTGGAGAGGAGAGACATTCTCAGAAGACACGAACATTGATTCAGATATGGGAACCCATTGCAGCTGAATAACAAAGTTAGAGATAATTAAATAGAGAAGGAAAAAGTTGATCTTACGCTAACCTGAACACAAGAAATTATCTAATATAACATGAAACTTCACCAGAACCTGATCCAGTAGCCATAATAGAAATCAACTGCGAGAGAAGAGGTGCTTCAGGTCAGAAAAAAGGTACTTACAAAGCAGTGAATGACGATATAAAAAGAGGTGTCAGGAGGGATGAAGGTTATTAAGTGGGATCCTCGAGGATCAGTAAATGACCAGCCAAAGAGGATCGAGTACTATGCTTCTGTTTCCAGACGAAATTACACTATAAAAAAGAATGTGAACAGGAGAGGGAGTAAATAACTTCATACAAAATAACTTAAACAGATTGCAGAGTCTATCAGAACTGTGGCTGCTGGAATTCAATCAAAACACGTTCAAAATTACACAGATTTGGGAGACGGATTACAAGTGATAAGAGAAACAGCAGACATGGACGAACAGAGAGAACAGAAGTAAGTGCAGATGAACATGTTTTAAACATAACCAGATGCGCGTGCCATGTCTTTGGAAGTATAAGTGAGACTTGCAAATCTCATCCAAAATTTTATAAACCTGAACAAGAATCTTTTAAGATTCTACATATATATATATAACAAACAAAACTTGTAATATGCAATAACAGAAAATGGAAAAGGTGCAAAAATTTGGAACCAGACTAGACGTAGAGCTAAAGGTTTTATATTATATGAAGACACTTAAGAAACTAAATCCAATAAATGAATGAGAGGAGAATTAAGAGGGATACAATTACAGTGTACAAGATTCTTGGGGAGGATTATATTGTGTAAAATAACGAAAGACTATGAAATTTGTGAAGCAGAGACAGTGGGTGACAGATGGAAACTAAAAATGAGAAAAAGTTACAGAGGTTTCAGGAAGTGTTCTTTCAGTATTATCGTAGAGGAAAAGTGTCACGAAGTGGATTTCAAAGTGGCGGCAACCACCACCACACACCACCAGCAGGCACCACCACCACCACAGCAGCACCACCAAAACCCAGCAGACCACACCACACACCACCAGCAGGCACCCCACCAACACCACCAGCAGGCATCACCACAACCACCACCAGGCACCACAACAACCACAGCAGGCCCATCCACACACGCCAGCAGGAACCACACCACACACCACCACAGTGCAACCACCACCACACAATGCAGGACCACCAACACACACCACCAGCAGGCACCACCACCACACACCACCAGCAGGCACCACCACCACACACCACCAGCAGGCACCACCACCACACACCACCAGCAGGCACCACCACACACACACACAGCAGGGCCCACTCACACACCACCAGCAGGCACTACCACCACACACCACCGCAGGCACCACCACCACACACCCAGAGGCACACCATCACACACCACAGAGACCACCACCAACACCACTAGCAGGCACCACCACACACACACCAGCAGGCACACACACAACCACCAGCAGCACACACACTACACACCAGCACACCACCTCCAACACAAGTCATTGCACACACCACCAGACCACCAAGCAGGCACCACCACCACACACCACCAGCAGGAACCACCACCACACACCAGCAGGCACCACCAACACCACCAGCAGGATCCACCACCACACACACACCAGCAGGCACCACCACACACACCCACCATCGGCACCACCAACACACCACAGGGCACAGCACACCACACACACACCAAGCAGGCACCACCAACCACACACCACGCAGGCATCTACCACACACCACCAGAGGCACCACCACACACCACCAGCAGGCATACACCCACACACCACGACACCACCACCACCACCAGCAGGAACCACCACCACACACCACCAGCGGCCACCACCACACACCACACACAAGCACCACCACCACACACCACCAGCAGGCACCACCACCACACACCACCAGCAGGCACCACCACCACACACCACCAGCACGCACCCCCACCACACCCACAGATGCACCACCACCACCACCACCAGCAGGAACCCACCACCACCACCACAGGAACCACCACCACCACACACCACAGCAGGAACCACCCCACACACCACCAGCAGGAACCACTACCACACACTCTAGAAGGAACTACACCACAACCACCAAAAGGAACACACCAACACACCAAAGGGAATCCACCACACAACCAGAAGGTAACTACCACTACACACCAGAAGGTAACTGCCACACACACACCAGAATGGGAATACCACCACACCCACCAGAAGGGAACTACCACACACACCACCAGAAGGGAACTACCACCACACCACCAAAGGAATTACCACCACACCACCACAGGAACTCAACTACACACCACAGAAGGGAACTACACTAACACCACCAGAAGGGAACTACAGACTACACCACCAGAATGGAATTCCACCAAAAAACTCCACAACACAAGGGAACTACCACTACACACCACCAGAAGGGAATTACCACCACACACCACCAGAAGGGAACTACCACTACACACCACCAGAAGGGAACTACCACTACACACCACCAGAATGGAATATCACACACACACCAGAAGGGAACTACCACACACACCACAGAAGGGAATTACTACCAAGTGGCCCGGTGGCCGGTGGCAAAGCTCCCGCTTCACATACGGAGGGCCCGGGTTCGATTCCCGGCGGGTGGAAACATTCGACACGTTTCCTTACACCTGTTGTCCTGTTCACCTAGCAGCAAATAGGTACTGGGTGTTAGTCCGACTGGTGTGGCGCATCCGGGGGACAAATAAGGACCCAATGGAAATAAGTTAGACAGTCCATGACGCACTGACTTTCTTGGGTATCTGGGTGCTAACCCATCCGGGCGTTAAAAACCGAAACGAAAGTCTTATCTTAACACTGCCAGCAGAGGACCACCACCAACAAAAGGGAATACTGCTGTAACACTTACCAGAGAGACAACAGTGACAAGACTTTCCCTTGCACTTGCCAGACACAATCTTGGTCTTGCACTTTCTCTCAGAAGTGCAAAACCCGCCACTTTTCATGCATTTTTTGGGTGTTTTGCAGTGTTCTTTCTCCTCGCTACCGTGTGGAGGACGATGATGATTCTCCCCGCTACCGTGTGGAGGACGATGATGATTCTCCCCGCTACCGTATGGAGGGCGATGATGACTCTCCCCGCTACCGTATGGAGGACGATGATGATTCTCCCCGCTATTATGTGGCCTCTTCTTTTCATTCTTTGCTTTTTTTAGTTTACCATCTTTTTTACTGTTTACATTCTTGTTATTCTTTAGTTTTTGGTTTCGTTTCCTATTCTTTTTATGCTTCTTTTCCTTTAATTTTTTTGTTTTCTTTAAATTCTTTTTGTTTTTCGATTTTTTGGATTGTCGACTTCCACTCTTCTCTGCTTTATGGCTGTTCTTCTTCTTATTGTTTTTCTTTAATTTCCTTTTTTCCATTTTTTTCCCGTGCCCTTGGTTTTTATCTCTGTCCTTCTCCTTTGGTTTTTCTTTTTGCTTCTTTTCGGCAGCTGTCTTCTGTTTCTTTCCCTTAACTGATTTCTGTTTCTTTCCCTTAACTGATTTCTGTTTCTTTCCCTTAATTGATTTCTGCTTCTTTCCATTAACTGATTTCTGTTTCTTTCCCTTAATTGATTTCTGTTTCTTTCCCTTAACTGATTTCTGTTTCTTTCCCTTAACTGATTTCTGTTTCTTTCCCTTAACTGATTTCTGTTTCTTTCCCTTAACTGATTTCTGTTTCTTTCCCTTAACTGATTTCTGTTTCTTTCCCTTAACTGATTTCTGTTTCTTTCCCTTGACTGATTTCTGTTTCATTCCCTTAATTGATTTCTGTTTCTTTCCCTTAACTAACTTCTGCTTCTTTCCCTTAACTAACTTATGTTTCTTTCCCTTAACTGATTTCCGCTTCTTTTCCTTAACTGACCTCTGTTTTTTTCCCTTAACTGATTTCTGTTTTTTTCCCTTAACTGATTTCTGTTTTTTTCCCTTAACTGATTTCTGTTTCTTTCCCTTAACTGATTTCTGTTTCTTTCCCTTAACTGACCTCTGTTTCTTCCCTGAAGTTGAATTCCTCTTTGAGAACTTCGAGTCTGATTTCTTTTCTTTGACTTTCCTGCGATGCTCTTTTCCTCTTCTGTTTTTCATAGCCTTTTGTTGTTTAAATGCATTTATTCTTGAGTTGCGATCAAGTGTATCGTACATTTTCTTTTTCACATTTCTTCCTTTCTTTTCTTCCTTGGCGATCAGCCTGTTATTCGGGCGACTCATTTTTTTCAAAGTCTTTTTAGCACCGTCAACTTCACTGCCGTGACTCCTGTTCTTGACGATGCTTTTGCTCTTACGACTCCTTGTTCCATTATTCCTGTTATTCTCACGCTTTTTGCTTGTTTTCCGTCTTCTTTTCTTTGCCTTTTTCACACTTCTACGCCCATCCAGGTTCTTGACACGGTTACGCTTGCTCGCTTCTTTGTCAAGGCGAGTATCTGCGTCGTTATTGGCCGTGTGTCGTTTTCTCTCCATTCTCGTACTTCCGCGACTCTTCTTCCCACTTCGTAAGTGGCTTTTAGTGTGGCGTTCACTGCCAGTCTTCATTTGGTTAGCGTTCCCACTAGTTTTGACAGAGTTCCATTTTTCATGGTCAATGATTCGATCTCTGACAGCCATTTTGGGTTCACTGTCAGATCTGACATTGATCCTCTTGGGTTTTACACCATCTCTTCCTCTCTGACTCTCTGATACATCCCGTTGACCAACTACACTTTCCTGAGTAACATAAAGTTGTGATTATTTTTTGTGTGTATCCAAAGTGAGGTTAAAAGTGTTTACAAGATAAAATAATGATATATATATATATACAATTAGCACTTTATCTTTAAAAATAACCAGTGTAGATTCTAGTTGAAATTGTTGGACAATGTTTCCGATAAATCTAATATTTGCAACAATTTTACAATTTAGAACATGATAAGTGATAAATTGTGTTTGAGCACTCTGGAAGAGGTGGTGGTGGTTGTGGGGATTTTGGTCGTAGTGGTGGTGATGGTGAGGGTGGTGGTAATGGTGATGGTGATAGTGGTAATAGTTTATTCTTGAGTAAGCAGGACACGAATCTCTATACGAGTCTGTAACTAGTTCAGCATGTAATGGCTTAACAAAGCTAACCTTTAAACCCCATTAAAAAAAGGAGGACCACTCCCTAGTAGTATTTTAAGATGACAATAAGCTACAATCTATCCTAAATCTATAGTGAAGGAGATGCCACATGATCTTTATATCTAAAAATGACTTGACATACGGAGAGTCATAATACTGATCATTGCTAGACTAACCAAACTTCACAGTACCCAAACCTTATTCTTAGACTAATATTTTGAAATTATATCTCTGACACAAGACAAAGTAAATTTCCGATTTTCCTTTTTAAATTGACGTTTCTACAGAGAGATTGTTCACTTTGTATGTTCAATATTATCCCAGTCTGTTTTTCTTTTTATTAGATGACATCAATGATGTGTTGGATTTAAACCCTATCTACCACACTTAGTTTAATAAATCTGCATTTGAATCAAGATCTCTTTAATTTTTACAAATGAAGTAAATATTGTCTATATACATGAGGAAACATTTCGAACATTTCATTGTGGATATGTTACGTTTTTTTTTTTCATCCACTCCAAACACGTGTGAAGTGAGCAAGTTTTTGCTCATGTGTCATTAACTACAACTTGTAGGTATTATATACCAGGTTTTGACCATCAGCGAGTGTATACTAAGCGTTAGTTACTTTATTGTGTATATTGGTTAAAGACAACTCGAAGATTACCAAGGCTTCGTGTGGACTGCACAACTCCGAAAAAGAATCAAGTCTAAAAAAAAAAATCCGTAATGTATAGACTGTTAAAGGTGTGTGACAGGATTTTATACTGGCACAAATAAGTCACTTGATTCTTCAGACAAATAATTCCATTTGTTTAAAACTCGATGAAAGAAACAGAATTTCACAAAGGGTGACTGAAACTATTTACTTTATTATTAAACCACTCTTGGGTTCTGTCATGTAAGATAAGATAAGATTTCGTTCGGATTTTTAACCCCGGAGGGTTAGCCACCCAGGATAACCCAAGAAAGTCAGTGCGTCATCGAGGACTGTCTAACTTATTTCCATTGGGGTCCTTAATCTTGTCCCCCAGGATGCGACCCACACCAGTCGACTAACACCCAGGTACCTATTTGCTGCTAGGTGAACAGGACAACAGGTGTAAGGAAACGTGTCGGAATTTCCACCCGCCGGGAATCGAACCCGGGCCCTCCGTGTGTGAAGCGGGAGTTTTAGCCACCAGGCCACCGGGCCACCTATTGTTGTTTAAATGCTTAAATGTTTAAATGTAATGAAACAGTTTTGGGCTCAAGACTTATCTCGTGGAGACGAATGAGGGAGGAACTGTATTGAAATTTTTGGCCTGTAATGCAGGTCTCTTCAGTCAGTGAATAACATAGTCCACTGACTGAAGAATTACTTCCACGGGAGACACATCTTAGTAAACGTTCTCTATGTTAATTATATTTATCTTTACCACAGTTATCACCTTTTTACTTGTAAATATGTGCTAGAATTTCAAGTGTGTTATGTGTGTGTATCACAAGAATAACTTTTGCGAAAGATTAAAATATTTTATCTTTCAGACAGGTTATGTGTCCTGAGAGGTGTGTGTATCACAACATATATACAGTGTGTTCTGTGTGTATCACAGCATATATACAGTGTGTTCTGTGTGTGTATCGCAACATATATACAGTGTGTTCTGTATGTATCACAGCATATATACAGTGTGTTCTGTGTATGTATCACAGCATATATACAGTGTGTTCTGTGTATGTATCACAGCATATATACAGTGTGTTCTGTGTATGTATCACAGCATATATACAGTGTGTTCTGTGTATGTATCACAGCATATATACAGTGTGTTCTGTGTATGTATCACAGCATATATACAGTGTGTTCTGTGTATGTATCACAGCATATATACAGTGTGTTCTGTGTATGTATCACATCATATATATAGTGAGTGTTATCTTTGATATACCATTTTACTAACTATTTTTACTACCTATTTTCACTTACTGTTTTTTACTTACTATTTTTACTTACTATTCTACTAACACAAAGGAGGAAACTAACTCAGGCCTTAACCAGTGTTCATAGTGTTAAAAATAAGTCTTATTACCTTGTATTTTTAATTAGAAAATATGGAAAGAATTATGGTAAATCTCGTAGTCATCTGCGTCATCAGAATGAGGAAAAAATGTTGATGAAAGTTTATTATAAATTACGGAATTTGTGAGGTGCGAATCCACGGTTTCGTGAGGTGCGAATCCACGGTTTCGTGAGTTCTTTATGGTCTCTAAAAAAAAATGTTTTCTTGCAAATTATGGAAAGAAGAAAGCTAAGTAGATGTCTCAGTAGCCAAGAGGCAGTTTACCTGCACCATCAGCAGTATATAGCAGAGGAAAGCCGCTGTAACGAGAGCCTTCATGTTGGACAGGTGGATCAGGAACTGCAAGACTGAAGCAATACTTGTCCTTGCTGACTGCTGCCTGCTGCTACTGCTGCTACTGCTGCCTGCTGTTACTGCTGCCTGCTGCTACTGCTGTTACTGCTGCCTGCTGCCACTGCTGCTGCTTCTTGTTACAAGGAACGATAACACCAAAATTGGCTGAAACTTCTGATAAAGTTATGTTTGGAGGAGCCAGCGAGCAAAAAGAAAATATTTTGGAGTCACAGAACTCCCACAATCGCTTCTGGACAGCGACTGGAGAGCTCTGGTGGTTCTTACTCAGTAATACGAAGCTTTTATAAACTCAACACACCCCTGCAACCACCTGCGATACAGGTGCAAGGGTAGAACATCGCCCTTAGCAATAAGATGCATGTATTTATTATACACATAATTGTTACATTTGGCTTTGCCAGCGAGCTGATGCCATGTTAATATATTCATTTTGGTTAATTTTGAGAATTTTGAACAATTATTTTGGTGGACGAAATGACGTGGAATATATTTTTACAGGGACGAGAATTATATTGTCCAATAAAAAACTTGTTTTGCAATTTGTGTTTTTTCTTTTAGTACCAAAATATACAATATAAATACCGGAATTTAGGTGACATATTTTTGTAAAATAAAACAAAATTATATGTTAAATTGCCCGGGTAAAAATCACGTGAATTGCATTAATAAAAACATTAAGGCTGTTATCTGATACTCATTGAAACTGGTAATGCACAAAAAAACTTTTTAACACTAGGAAATGAAAGAAACTTAATATTCTTGCTCTCATTTGCAAAAGAAGAACACTCGATGTTAGTGAAGATAAGGAGGGGAACAGTCAGGTCAGGATTGAGGGATCATCACATTCCTATGAACACAATAATAATAATAATAACAATCAAGGAATGATGACTCTTGCCACTTATCATGAACACAGGTATGGTATGGCCTGTGAACCTGGTCGTAACGGGATTTAAAGGGGAGCAAACATAACTTAATGGTAGCTGACTTGCATTTTCCTTCACCAGGTACAAATTGCCAGCATTTACAAGTATGTATACTATGTACAGAGGTGGACTAGTAAGTGTACCACACCGTGACAAAAGATGGCAGAAACACAAGCCAGAAGATGCACCGTGCTCAACCAGCAACCCAGGCAAGTCTGTCAATTCGCTTGGCACAGGGGAACCACATTGCTTCAGCTTTGGTGGGCTTTTCTGTGATTGGCCAGTGAACCCGGTTCACTGGTCAGGAGGCAGCCTATATAGGAGTGTGACATACACCGAACAAATGTAACATACTCCTAGCATGTCCCATCACATTATCAAACTCAATGAAAATTCAGCTATGTAAAGGGAAGAGTTAAATTATGATAAGTGCACAATTCATACCAAGGACGGGGATAGAACCCGCGATCAGAGAGTCTCAAAACTCCAGACCGTCGCGTTAGCCACTGGACCAGCTAGCCACAATAAGATTCATCCAGCTAGGTATATTTCTACACCATAGGAAGGTTAGCATAGGCACCACTGTGACCACAAATGCAAGTTTTTACAGACGAATCTCCAGCTAACGCGACGGTCTGGAGTTTTGAGACTCTCTGATCTCGGGTTCTATCCCCGTCCGTGGTATGGTTTGTTTGCAATCGTGTCATTACGATTTCGTGAGTCATAAGTGCACAATGAACGGTAGTGATGACAGGTTGAAAACATCGCCTCACGATCAACAGATTTAAGATGCAATTTTTCCCTCTCGTTATAACAGAAAACCTACAGTTTAAATGAGATACTTGTCCACAAGTGTCCCGTATATCAAAAGCGGGTATTGTGCCTTTTGTTCTTTAGGGAGACGACTCACTGCAGTCGACTAGCATTCAAGTTCTAATTTGCTGCTACATGACCAGGAACACCAGGAAATTGACCAGTACGATTCAGAATTCAACAAAGAACTCTCAACTGACGTTTTTGAATCTTGTAACTGATAGCTGAACAGGAGGTGTAAGCTGCCCGTACGTCTTGGGATGCAACCAACAACAGCCATCTAACACCTAGTTAGATGAATCTTATTGTGGCCAGCTGGCCCAGTGGCTAACGCGTCGGTCTGGAGTTTTAAGACTCTGATCGCTGGTTCTAACCCCGCCCGTGGTATGTTTTGTTTGCAATCGTGTCATTACGATTTCGTGAGTCATATTTGCTGCTAGCTGAACAATGGCAGCCGGGAGAATGAGTTTTTTTTTTTTATATGGTTCATCCTACCCCAGAATCCAGTCCGATTTCTTTTGACTGGATTCCAAACTCTCAACCATTGATTTACTTTTAGCAGAATTTTTAAAATATGAGAACACTGAAATTTTAGCCTTCATTAAAGGCTTACTCGACACATTATACATAACATGATTTAGGCCTACTTCTAACATTATTCATACAAGGTCTTACAACGTCAAATAATTAAAGTTGTATATTAACTTTATTAAAATAATCATTTTAATTCCCTTTACTGTATAAATTCATCGGTTAAATTTCATAATTTTTTATAATGGATAGAAATACATTGCGTTACACAGTCTCTGGAAACAGTACATATTAGCACCGAAAAAGATAATGGATATGACTCAAGAAATCGTAATGACACGATTGCAAACAAACCATACCCCCGGCCGGGATTGAACCCGCGGTCATAGAGTCTCAAAACTCCAGCCCGTCGCGTTAGCCACTAGACCTATGGTGTAGAAATATACCTAGTTGGATGAATTTTATTGTGGCTAGCTGGTCTAGTGGCTAACACGACGGGCTGGAGTTTTGAGACTCTATGACCGCGGGTTCAATCCCGGCTGGGGGTATGGTTAGATAATGGATATATTTTTTTCCTCATTAACGCACAAACGTAGTCATAAGTGTTTTGCAAATAAAAATTTTTTTGTATTGTCATTCAAAGTGCTGGTGTGGTCATTAAGCTCCAGGAATGGTGAAGGCTCGGTTCTCCTTCCACTAAGACCAGTCAGGCTACTGCACATCGTCACCACTTGGCTCGTGTTCACTGTTACCACAGCAGCAGAGGTGAATTATTTCTTGTGATAAACTTTCTTATTCTTTTCTTTCTGTTCCCTCATTTCCTCCTTTCCTCTCCCTCTCCTTGTATCACTTTTTTTTCATGTGTTCGTTGCAGCACAGAAGTCAAAGACCTGCATTTACTTTTCTCTGTGTACATATATTACAGTACTTTCTCTATAGCGATCACGTCTGTCACAGTGTATGTCGGGTTACCAGCAAGGCAGGCCACGTATGCACATTTTTATTCATGTTATTCACTTTCCACCTGTGTCATGTGATGGTGTTGTAGGAAGGTAGAAAGAGCATGGTTACCCTGTCGTAGGTTACCCTACTTCAGATCACACAACCTGAAGTCACATCGCCATAGTTAAAATAGTCTTAGGATTGGCGTCCATAGTTAATATTGCCTAAGGTCACCCTTGTATACTTAACGCTGAGTTCGGTTACCTTGCCAATGTTAATAACGTCTAGGGTCATCCTGCCAGAGGTAGCAATAACTTAAGTCATACTGAAATAATTAACATTGTCTTAGGTCACCTTGTTTTTAGTCACTGTGTTTCAGGTTACTGCCTCATTCTGCCTTAAAATACCCTTCTTTAATACATTGTTCTCCATTGGGACTTAGTAACAATAAGTCCTAAGCTTCATGAATAATTTGCTTGTGTAGGGTATCAAGGAACCTTTGAGATCCTGTAGAGTTGACGTTGATGATGTTAGGTCCATTATTATTATTTTCTCCCCTCTATGTTCTTATTCCTACCCTTTGTGGGCCCCTAGCTCCCTTGTGGGCTCCTAGCTCCCTTGTGGGCTCCTAGCTCCCTTGTGGGCCCCTAGCTCCCTTGTGGGCTCCTAGCTCCCTTGCAGTACTCCTCTGTCTTATTCTTTGACTGACTCTGCTACTACTACTACTACTACTACTACTACTACTACTACTACTACCACCTCTATCACTACCTCTCTTCTTCCTTTCCTACTACCTCTCTTGTCCCGTCCCTGTCTGCCGGCCTATATATACTCCCTCCTTCTCTCCTTTTGTTACTGTGACTTTGTATATGGTCCAAGTCGGACCGAAACGTCGTCGTAAGCTCCTCTCTCTCCTATCTGAGGGTTATTTGTGTATAATTTATATCATCGACTTCGACATACTCCAAATTAATTATGGTGCTTCTCTCTGAGCAAGTAATCTCTGTATACTGACATTATGTTAGTGGAAATGAAATTGAGATGCAGGTGAAAAAGTCAATGGGGTCAAGAAACCAGTATTCAAGAAATGTGACTATAGTGGTCTGTGAAGATTCTTGGCAAATAAAATGCGGCAGTAACTTTACTGGTAAGACAATGTTGTGACAACCCCGTGTAAGCTGCTCTTGCTAAACGTCTGGAAGATGGTGCAAATTTTGTAAGATATTCACAACAGACTGAATACAATAAAATTAACGCTGTTATGAATGTTTGATATTTCCTTACGTCCTAAACATTAAATTAAAATATAAGTGCATTTATATTACATGCTGTTTCTTCTACACAAGGGTCGATATTTAGTATATAATTTTTTCCCCGAGAGGAACTATTACGAAATGGAAGGTTCCATCAGCCATTTATGAGATTTGGATTAGAGATGGCAGCTTTATTTAACAGCTAATATATTTATTATTTTATGTGGTAGTCATTCACAAATTAATTCTTTCTTTATTGCTGTATTGGAAATTAAACAACGTAACTAGAAAAAATAATATGATCGAAACGTTTCGTTAGAAGTGCAGATTATTTTCTGACTAACAAATGTGAGATTTTAGTTATCACAACTCATTTGAATTGTTCTTCACTATGCATGTTTTAAACAAATTCTTATTTAAGCAGCATCTGTGAATCCCTTACAGAGTATGAAGAGTATAGAGTTCAGGAGTATCAGAGCTGCAATGGAGCCGTGCATGAGACACGCTTCTGGTTCCTCAGGAACGAAGAATAAGAGGTGATCTGATTAGAACGTGAAAAATACTTAAGGACATAAACACTGTAGATTAGGACCTTCTTTCCTCCTAGGATGGGTCAAGAATAAAGTGTCATGGATGGAAAAAAGTTACACAGATGCCAAGAAACATTTTTTTACGTAGGAGTAGCAAAAGAAAACAGTTAGGTCCCAAATGAAGGTACACGAGAGAAACTAGCTCCATACAGGGGTTTAAAAATATATATGTTACAGGTAATTCACGTCAGTAAATGTGTGATTACTGATAAGAGTAATTGTACATGTTAGTAAGTTTATCAGAAGATAATGTAAACAGTAGTAGATTTATCAGAAGATAATGCAAACATTAGTAGATTTATCAGAAGATAATGTAAACATTAGTAGATTTACCAGAAGATAATGTAAACATTAGTAGATTTATCAGAAGATAATGTAAACATTAGTAGATTTACCAGAAGATAATGTAAACATTAGTAGATTTACCAGAAGATAATGCAAACAATAGTAGATTTACCAGAAGATAATGCAAACAATAGTAGATTTACCAGAAGATAATGCAAACAATAGTAGATTTACCAGAAGATAATGCAAACAATAGTAGATTTATCAGAAGATAATGTAAACAATAGTAGATTTATCAGAAGATAATGTAAACAATAGGTCAGTTCTCTGTTCTTTATTTCTTCATTAAAGATTATAATTATTATTTCGTGCATGACCAAAAAAAAAAAAACAGTGGACGGATATTATGCACAAGTTGACAATATTTAAATAAATAAGATAATAAATGTGTAATAAGCAATTGCCAATATGCTGAAAGTTAACTCACTTGTAGACAAGAAAACAGTAATGAAAATAAGACTGAATATTTCGATTTCTAAGTGTAGTCATCATCAGCAGGATGAACACTGTTGATAAATTAGACACATGTGCAACTCTTGGGTATCTTTATTGAGGAAACGTTTCGCCACACAGTGGCTTCATCAGTCCATACAATTGAACAAATGTTACACGACCTATGACTGCTGCACCTCTCCTGCCATACGGTTTATAAGCTCCTTCTCCGCTGATATGCCGTATTCTATTCAAGATTGATGGACTGACCACATCGACTCAAGGTTGAGGGACTGATTACCTCATTCTCCTCCTGTTCTTCAAGATTCTCCTTTGTATGGACTGATGAAGCCACTGTGTGGCGAAACGTTTCCTCAATAAAGATACCCAAGAGTTGCACATGTGTCTAATTTATCAACATGTCGGTTCTCTGAACCATTCATCTACAAACCTGTCAGATACAGGATGAACACTACGTGTAGACAGGCTGTTTGTTTTTTTTACACCTGGAATACTTTTCATCACGTGAAGACACACCGAAAACAATAACTCTTAAATAATTAATGTTTAACAAAAGATAAAGCACTAAATGAAATTTAAGGTGGAAGTGAAGACAAATCTTGTTCAAAGAAATAAATATTGCATGCAGATTATTCTTAAAATAACCGGCAGGACACTATTGACCATGGAAAAGGAGATACTTCTTAGTAATCGTTGAAAATTAGAGAAAAATCAAATGGAGAAAGCCAAGGCCGACTTCACCATGAGAGATGCTTTATTTATCGTTGCAATATATTAGTTTAGCATAAAAATACTTATCAAATATCCGTGTTTATGATGGGTAGTAGTTAATTATAAACTTACTGTATAAACAGATGTCTTTGCATTTCATCTTCAGTGTTGTCGTGCCCACTGAAGCTGCAGTTCGTGAAGTATGGAAGATGCTTTTTCTGAATCTAAGGTAGTTGAATTTCTTACAGTATCTCAGATGTATTCGTTGAAGTATCCAGGGAGGTTGTAGATCTACTGTATACAGTGTTTCTGCTTCCACAGTTGTTGTTAATGTATTTCTTTTGCAGGATATTATTTATCCTGTTGCACCAATCGATTTTATTTAACTTATAAATTCGTTTTCCTCAAAAGAGAATGCTTTCTTAGACCGTGTAGCTTATCCTGGTGGCGCAGGAGCAGATGATGAGGTTGTTTAAGTAGTTGTTGTGGTCGTTGTAGTACTTGTTGTAGTCGTTGGAGTAGTTGTTGTGGTTGTTGTGGTCGTTGTAGTAGTTGTTGTGGTTGTTGAAGAAGTTGTTGTGGTTGTTGTAGTTGTGGTCGTTGTAGTAGTTGTTGTGGTCGGTGTAGTAGTTGTTGTGGTCGTTGAAGTAGTTGTTGTGGTCGTTGAAGTAGTTGTTGTGGTTGTTGTAGTTGTTGTGGTCGTTGTAGTAGTTGTTGTAGTCGTTGAAGTAGTTGTTGTGGTCGTTGAAGTAGTTGTTGTGGTTGTTGTAGTTGTTGTGGTCGTCGTAGTAGTTGTTGTGGTTGTTGTAGTTGTGGTCGTTGTAGTAGTTGTTGTGGTCGGTGTAGTAGTTGTTGTGGTCGTTGAAGTAGTTGTTGTGGTCGTTGAAGTAGTTGTTGTGGTTGTTGTAGTTGGTTGTGGTCGTTGTAGTAGCTTTTTGTGGTCTTTTGAAGTAGTTGTTGTGGTCGTTGAAGTAGTTGTTGTGGTCGTTGAAGTAGTTGATGTGGTCGTTGAAGTAGTTGTTGTGGTCGTTGAAGTAGTTGTTGTGGTCGTTGTAGTTGTGGACGTAGTAGTTGTGGTTGTTGAAGTAGTTGTTGTGGTCGTTGTACTAGTTGTTGTGGTTGTTGAAGTAGTTGTTGTGGTCGTTGTACTAGTTGTTGTGGTTGTTGAAGTAGTTGTTGTGCAGCTTGGAGTAACTGTTGTGGTTGTTGAAGAAGTTGTTGTGGTTGTTGATGTAGGTGGTTGTTGATGTAGTGGTTGTTGTAGTAGTGGTTATAGGTGAAGTTGTTGTCGTTGACGTAGTATTTGTAGTTGAAGTAGTTGTTGTTGTGATACTTGTTGTGGTTGTGATACTTGTTGTGGTTGAGCTACTTGTCGTTGTGGAACTAGTGCTTGTAGTAGTTGTTGTAGTAGTCGTAGTTGTTGTTGTAGTTGTGGTAGTTGTAGGTGTGGTAGTTGTAGGTGTGGTAGTCGTAGTTGTGGTACTTGTCGTTGTCGTATTCGTAGTAGTTGTGGTATTCGTAGTTGTGGTAGTCGTCATTGTGGTAGTCGTCGTTGTGGCATTCGTCGTTGTGGTACTCGTTGTTGTGGTACTCGTTGTTGTGGTACTCGTTGTTGTGGTACTCGTTGTTGTGGTACTCGTTGTTGTGGTAGTCGTCGTTGTGGTAGTCGTCGTTGTGGTAGTCCTCCTTAAAGTCGTTTTCTCTAAAATATCAAGAATGTGTTAAATGACCATTTCCAGTAAGACGAAAAAATAACATTTTTATCATAGCTAAATAATTTATAGGAAGAAGAGCAATGAAAAATCTACCACTGGAAATTCCCACCTTTTGCAGTGCAAAATTTTCCCTCTATTCAATAACAACAACAACTTGTGTTATTCTGTTATTGATAACAAGAGGATGGACGGGAACCATGAGATATTTTCTCTGGGGAGGATTTTTTTGCTAGGTTCTTTGTCATGATGCAGTATGTTCAGGGGATGCAAATATCCACATACACACAAACACACGGCCAGGAGCTATGACTCGACCCCTGCAACCACATATATATGAGTACACACACACACACACACACACACACACACACACACACACACACACACAACACTGGAGGACAGGAGGGTTAGGGGAGACATGATAACGACATATAAAATACTGCGAGGAATAGATAAGGTGGACAGAGACAGGATGCTCCAGAGATGGGACACAGAAGTGGTTACAACTGGAAGAGGAAGACTCAGATGAGTCAAGGGGATGTTAGGAAGTATTACCTATTTACAAGGCAGGTGACAGGTCCTTGGCTTCGAACTATAGACCAATAAGCCTTACCTCCATAGTGGGAAAATTTATGGAATCAATAATTGCCGAAGCAATTCGTAGCCATCTTGACAGGCACAGATTGATTAATGGTTCTCAACACGGTTTTACAAAGGGGCGTTCCTGTCTTACGAATTTACTAACATTTTTCACTAAGGTGTTTGAGGAGGTAGATCATGGTAATGAATATGATATTGTGTATATGGACTTCAGTAAGGCTTTCGATAGAGTTCCACACCAGAGGATATTGAGGAAACTTAGGGCACACGGAATAGGAGGAGAAATTTTTTCCTGGGTAGAGGCATGGCTGACAAAGAGACAGCAGAGAGTTTGCATAAATGGGGAGAAATCAGAATGGAGGCACGTCACAAGCGGTGTTCCTCAGGGGTCAGTGTTGGGCCCGTTGTTGTTCACAATTTACATAAACGACATAGATGAGGGAATAAATAGCGACATAAGCAAATTTGCTGATGACACTGAAATAGGCCGTCCAATTCATTCTAATGAGGACATTAGAGCACTCTAGGATGATTTGAATAGACTGACGCAATGGCAGGAGAAGTGGCAGTTGCAGTTTAATATTGACAAATGCAAAGTTCTAAATGTTGGACAGTTAAATAACCATGCCACATATAAACTAAATAATGTAGATCTTAAAACTACCGATTGCGAAAAGGATTTAGGAGTTCTGGTTAGCAGTAACCTAAAACCAAGACAACAGTGCGTTAGTGTTCGCAATAAAGCTAACAGAATTCTTGGCTTCATATCAAGAAGTATAAATAATAGAAGTCCTCAGGTTATTCTTCAACTCTATATATCCCTGGTTAGGCCTCATTTAGACTATGCTACTCAGTTCTGGTCACCGTATTACAGAATGGATATAAATGCTCTGGAAAACGTACAAAAGAGGATGACAAAGATGATCCCATGTATCAGAAATCTTCCCTATGAGGATAGACTGAAGGCCCTGAATCTGCAGTCTCTGGAAAGGCGTAGAATTAGGGGGGGATATGATCGAGGTGAATAAATGGAAAACAGGAATAAATAATGGGGATGTAAATAGTGTGCTGAAAATTTCCAGCCAAGACAGAACTCGCAGCAATGGTTTCAAGTTGGAAAAATTCAGATTCAGGAAGGGTATAGGAAAGTACTGGTTTGGTAATAGAGTTGTGGATGAGTGGAACAAGCTCCCGAATACAGTTATTGAGGCTAAAACGTTGTGTAGTTTTAAAAATAGGTTAGATAAATACATGAGTGGGTGTGAGTGGGTGTGAGTTGGACCTGACTAGCTTGTGCTGCTGGGTCTGGTACAGTGCTCCATCCTTGAGTGGGGATGACCAGACTGGGTGAGTCATTGGGATAATCGGGGGGGGGGGGGACATGGACCTGCTCCACATGGGTCAGTAGGCCTGTTGCAGTGTTCCTTCTTTCTTATGTTCTTATGTTCTTTAGTCGTAGAGTTGTCAGGAAGTGGAATAGTCTGGCAAGTGACGTAGTGGAGGCAGGAACCATACATAGTTTAAAGACGATGTCTGATAAAGCTCATGGAGCATGGAGAGAGTGACCTAGTAGCGATCAGTGAAAAGGCGGGGCCAGGAGCTATGAATCGATCCTTCAACCACAAGTATTTGAGTTCAGATAGCTGAGTACTTAACAAACAGCAGACAGTAACAGTGTACACGGATATAAAGAGAGGCGTAGCGACAATTTTAAAATACATCATCATTAAAAGTTAAGTCTGAATTAAATTTGCTATTCGATCCTTACACTGATTTTATCCATAAGGATAATATCAGTGAAATGAGCTGAGTTTAGAAAAAATGACCAGAGTGAGGGACTGATAACCTCATCTTCTACCTTTTATTTTTTTTTGTATTATACTGATAAAGCCACTGGTTGGCGATACGTCTGCAGAATGAAGACTCCCAAATGTTGCACCGGTGTCTGATTCATCAACTTTTACATGGTACCACAATACTTGATTGCATTCGTGAAAGCCTGGGAATGTTCCTATGAGTAAATGTTCCTATGAGCCTATTCCTTACAGGAAGTCTTCTCTACCTTGAACTCTGTAAAGCTCATTCTGTTCTAAGTTCACTCCTTCACACACCGAAATAATGTAAAGACACAGTAATGAAGTCTTACCTGGATAACAACAGAAGCACTTGGCTCCCTTGCAGTCATCCTTGTCGACCCATCCCTTACAATACTTGTTCTTATCTACACAATAACCACCACCAGCAGTACACTGCATCGTGGGCTTGCAAGCCTTGGCACAGCAGACACAAGTTTTCTTCATGCAACCCTTGGGGATCTGTCGCTCCTTCACGTCGCACTTTGTCTTACACACACCCTTGTGTTTAGTGCACTTCTTTTTTGGTTTAGCTGCGCAAACTGTTAACAAAAATGTCTGTATTAAACATCAACAAAGCACCTTCACTATTCACAAAATCTCCTCCATAAATGCAAGCGCATGAACGTTGTGAGTCAAGATGGAGTGAAAATTACAAGAATGGAAGACTGGGCGAGAATGCTTCTTGGTTTGATTTTTATCGTAAAATTTAAGCATTGATGTTCTGTTGTAGGTTCGCCGGAATAATCGCCCGACCCGGGTCTTTACCAAGAGGTGGCCCGCCCTTGGCTCCTTGTTAAGGAAGTGTCTCAGACCAATGTCTGCCATGGGAGGAGGCACAAGTACCTACTCGTCTTCTGGGACCAGCTATCCCCAGGCCTAGCCCCATTCCCCGCCCCCACGGGGCTCGGAGTAAGCATTGATGAAAGTGGCTATTGAAAAACAAACGATGCAAGTAATCGTGCAGTACTAAGCTGGAGAGATAAACAAGAAGTGATAGACCGAACACGAAAATGAAGGAGATTATGATGTTCCGAATCATTATATAAGATGAATAGACTAAATATTGGAACCAGATGTTAAAATAGCCAAGGAATTGACGGAAATGCTAGACACAAAGTGCCGAGTAGTAATCGTAACAGACATTAGGAGAAAATATTTTAAACACTGAATTGAGAGCATCTTCGTTACTGCCGGGTCCCAAGGAGGATAAAACAAGGGGTAAATAATATTATAGAAAAAAATTGCCGGACCTACTTTGTAAATGACAGAGCAGAAAATGCTACAAGCAGCAATACTGATTCCGAATAATAAAAGATCCAAATAATAAAACTAAAGAAGAGGCATACATAAAATGTGTGAATTTTGCATAGATGTGAAAAAAATTATATCAGAAAATAATGAATCAGAGAGAGGAGCACGCACTTGAACATTCAAATAACAAAGGAATAACTGAAGGAACTGGAGGGAGCGGTATCTATGCGACCCAATAATATACATTTTTGACAAAGAAAAATCAACAGACAGAAGGATAGGTTGAATTTAACTCCTCTAAACTAAAAGAAAATGTTAAACGGAATATATGACGAACGGTTTTGAAAACCCGACAAGTTGAAGATTGAAACACTAGTGCAACATATGGGAATCTTTATTTAGGAAACGTTTCGCCACACAGTGGCTTCATCAGTCCAATACAAAGTAGAAAGACTTGTAGAATGTACAGCATAGGGCCGTAGATGTGGCTTATGTACTGTAGTCAGGTGAGGCGAAGCAGGAGGAGGCGGGGTCATAGTGGTGCCATCCACTGAACACATCAACTCCAGGCTGAGGGATTGATTACCTCAAACTCCTCCTCTCCTTACACTTTTCTGTTTTGTATTGGACTGATGAAGCCACTGTGTGGCGAAACGTTTCCTCAATAAAGATTCCCATATGTTGCATAAGTGTCTCAATCTTCAAACGGAACATATGACTTAACCAAAGCCTGATCCACTAGCTACATCAGAAGACAACTGTAAAAGCCAGAGTGCTTCTGTTTAGCAAAGAATACTTAATAAAAAAAAAAAACAGTGAGTGACAGTGTAGGAAGAGGTGCCAGGATGGGTGATGGTTACTAGTGGGATCCATCAAAGATCAGTCAACGACCTGCCAAATAGGATTGAATCCTATGTTTTTGTTCTCAGATGATGCTAAAGTATTGAACAGAATGTGAATGGTGGAGAGGACATAAACGGCCTCAATTTTCATTAAAACTTAAATACGTTGCAGAGATGAGTAAATGCACTTGCAAGATTTTGCAGATTTGGGAAACGGATCAGAGATAAGAAGAGATAAAAAAAAATGATAAATGAAAGAATGTTGAAGTAAACAGTGAAGTGAACAGTAAAGTAAACAGGAAGTGAACAGTAAAGTAAACAGGAAGTGAACAGTAAAGTAAACAGTGAAGTGAACAGTAAAGTAAACAGGAAGTGAACAGTAAAGTAAACAGGAAGTGAACAGTAAAGTAAACAGTGAAGTGAACAGTAAAGTAAACAGTGAAGTGAACAGTAAAGTAAACAGTGAAGTGAACAGTAAAGTAAACAGTGAAGTGAACAGTAAAGTAAACAGGAAGTGAACAGTAAAGTAAACAGTGAAGTGAACAGTAAAGTAAACAGTGAAGTGAACAGTAAAGTAAACAGGAAGTGAACAGTAAAGTAAACAGTGAAGTGAACAGTAAAGTAAACAGTGAAGTGAACAGTAAAGTAAACAGTGAAGTGAACAGTAAAGTAAACAGTGAAGTGAACAGTAAAGTAAACAGTGAAGTGAACAGTAAAGTAAACAGTGAAGTGAACAGTAAAGTAAACAGTGAAGTGAACAGTAAAGTAAACAGTGAAGTGAACAGTAAAGTAAACAGTGAAGTGAACAGTAAAGTAAACAGTGAAGTGAACAGTAAAGTAAACAGTGAAGTGAACAGTAAAGTAAACAGTGAAGTGAACAGTAAAGTAAACAGTGAAGTGAACAGTAAAGTAAACAGAAAGTGAATATAACTAGTGTCAATAAACAGAATGATATGTGAACAGTAAAGTAAAATCTTGAAATAGATGAACTAAGAGTAAAGAAGAGTGAATGAATACCACACGAAGAACAAATTAGTATCTTCGAAAGTAAATGTAGCATTGAAAACTTCAGTAAAATTGTCAACTGAAAATTGTACACTGAATGTTAAAGTACACGGAAGAATGTACATGAAAGAAAACTGTCACACTAAAACACACCACTGGAAAAACTGTCACCACTAAAGAAAAGTCACCACTGGAAGAAACTGTCACCACTGGAAAGGGAAACAGTCACCACTGGAAGAAACTGTCCCACTGGAAGAAACTGTCACCACTGGAAGAAACAGTCACCACTGGAAGAAAGTCACATGAAGAAACTGTCACCACTGGAAAGAAACTGTCACCACTGGAAAGAAACTGTCACCACTGGAAGAAACTGTCACCACTGGAAGAAACTGTCACCACTGGAAGAAACTGTCACCACTGGAAGAAACTGTCACCACTGGAAGAAACTGTCACCACTGGAAGAAACTGTCACCACTGGAAGAAACTGTCACCACTGGAAGAAACTGTCACCACTCACCACCAGAAGGAACTACCACCACAAACTGCTACCACAAACCAGAAGGAAATTACCACCTGCAGAAGGGAACTACCACCAGCAGAAGGAACTGCTAAAGTTTTGCTCTCCTGCGACTTGAGTAACACTTACCAGAGAGACAACAGTGACAAGACTTTCCCTTGCACTTGCCAGACACAATCTTGGTCTTGCACTTTCTCTCAGAAGTGCACTTCCCGCCACTTTTCGTACATCTTTTGGGTGTTTTGCAGCTTTCTTTCTCCTCGCTACCGTGTGGAGGACGATGATGACTCTCCCCGCTACCGTATGGAGGACGATGATGACTCTCCCCGCTACCGTTAGATGGACCTCCGAGTATGGGACGATGATGGCTCTCCCCGCTACCGTGTGGAGGACGATGATGACTCTCCCCGCTACCGTATGGAGGACGATGATGACTCTCCCCGCTACCGTATGGAGGACGATGATGACTCTCCCCGCTACCGTGTGGAGGACGATGATGACTCTCCCCCCTATCATGCGGCCTCTTCTTTTCCTTATTTGCTTTATTTAACTTTCTCTTATTTTTGTTTTTATTTTTATTGTTCTTTTGTTTTTGGGATTTTTTCTTATTTTTTTTATGTTTGATTTCCTTAGCTTTTTTTGGGTCCTTCATATTTTTTTTGCTTGTTCGGTGGATTTCTCTGTTTTTCGATTTTATGGATTGTTGACTTTCACTCTTCTGTGTAATATGGTTCTTCTTCTTCTTCTTCTTCTTCTTTAATTCTTTTTTGTCAGCCTTTTTCCCGTGTCTTTGTTTCTTATGTTTGCCCATCTTCTTTAATTTTCCCACCTGCCTCTTCCCTTTATCTGATTCCTTCTTCTTGGTAGATAATTTTTCTGTCTTCTTTTTAAGTGAATTCTTTTTCTTCCATTTATTCGACTTTTGTTTTTTCCCCTCTACTGACTTGTGTTTTCTCCCTACAACCGACTTGTGTTTCTTTCTTGCAGCCGACTTGTGTTTCCTCCCTGAAACCGACTTGTGTTTCCTTCCTGCAACCGACTTGTGTTTCTTTCTTGCAGCCGACTTGTGTTTTCTCCCTACAACCGACTTGTATTTCTTTCTTGCAGCCGACTTGTGTTTCTTTCTTGCAGCCGACTTGTGTTTCCTCCCTGAAACCGACTTGTGTTTCCTTCCTGCAACCGACTTGTGTTTCTTTCTTGCAGCCGACTTGTGTTTTCTCCCTACAACCGACTTGTATTTCTTTCTTGCAGCCGACTTGTGTTTCTTTCTTGCAGCCGACTTGTGTTTCCTCCCTGAAACCGACTTGTGTTTCCTTCCTGCAACCGACTTGTGTTTCCTTCCTGCAACCGACTTGTGTTTCCTCCCTACAGCCGACTTTTGCTTCCTTCTTGCAGCCGACTTGTGTTTTCTCCCTACAACCGACTTGTGTTCCTTTCTTGCAGCCGACTTGTGTTTCCTCCGTGCAACCGACTTGCGTTTCCTCTCTGCAACCGACTTGTGTTTCTTTCCTACAGCCGACTTATGCTTTCTTCTTGCAGCCGATGTGTGTTTTTTCCCTGCAACCGACTTGTGTTTTCCTCCTGCAGCCGACTTCTGTTTCCTTCCTACAGCAGATATTCCTTTCTTTCTTGTAGTGGACTTCTTCTTGACTCCGTTCACTTTCTCTTCCTTCTGGACTTGGCTATCACGACGCCTCATTCCTTCTTTCTTGAGAATTTCATGTGTTTTGCTAGTCTTCTGAATTCTTTTGTTTCCTTTCTTGATACGCCCATGACCATCCAAGTTCTTGACACGGCTACGCCCATCCAGGTACTTAACACGGCTACGTTTGTTGCTGGCTGTACGTCGCTTGGACCCTCTTCTTGTACTGATTCTGTAACCATGTTGTTTATCGCGTTTCTTCCCACTTCTGACATTTCTCTTCCTGTTGTTTTTCACTTGTTTAACACTGCCATTCTTTTTGTTATAGAATCTTGTTCTACCATCAACGCTCCGGTTTATGATAGAAATTTTGGAGTCACCGTCAAAAATTTTGGATTCACCGTCAAAATTGCCAGTGATGCTCTTGGCTTTTACACTGACTCTTTCCTCTTGGCTCTTTGATTTATTCCTTTGTCCAGCGACACTTTCCTGAGTAATGCAAACGTTATATTAATGACGTTTGTATATAAAATGAGATTAAATTTGATAACAACGTTGAAAAACAACTGATAAAATTAAGAAACACTTTATGCTAGGCTAATAAGTACAGATTTATGTAATAAATTTTGAAAAAAATTCATTTAGTAAATCAAATTTTGCAAAAATAGTTCAATTAGAACACGTAAATAGATGATGTGCGTGATGGATTATTTTTTAGTAAACAATGTCTTCCTCCCTTAAGTCAATGTGACCTGACCTGACTAGGTTGGGTGCATTGGCTTAAGCCGGTAGGAGACTTGGACCTGCCTCGCATGGGCCAGTAGGCCTTCTGCAGTGTTCCTTCGTTCTTATGTTCTTATGTTCTTATGACAGGAGTCTTTTTCAAATGATAATCTTATCTAGTTGAGTATCGACTGGCTTACCAAAGTTAGACTTTATGTCCCATTTAAAAACAGCAATATATTTTACAAGTAATATATAGAAGAGAGTAATGTATGTATCTTATCACATATACAATGTTTTCAACATTTTATAAGGAAAAAGTCATTCTTCTCATTAGTGATCATTCTAATTGCGGTCTTAGCCTACGTACCGTTTTTAGGTTTATTTATAACAAACGTATTAACTCATATTCCACTGTTTAATTAAGTTAACAAAAAATTACTTTAAGCTTAGCTAGTGATCTGCCTCATCTGCTTGTTAGATTTTTTTTTTTTGGGGGGGGGGATATTTCACTATGGCCTCTTATAAACCTTCTTTTCTGGTAAATGAACAAAAAGAAAAATACTTTGAAAAGTTAAACGGATATGTCAGTAAGCATGTGGGTGTTTACCTGGCCAACCAGCAGGAGACAAAAGAGGAAAGCGGCTGCAACGAGAGCTTTCATAATGACGAGGTGGATCAGGAACTGTTGGGGTGATGCAGTGCTTGTTCCTGCTGCTGCTACTACTGCTGCTGCGACTACTGCTGCTGCTTAATGCAGACAACTCTAACGCCAACTACAGCTGAGACTGCTGATATTGTGCATTATCGACGAGGAACCAACGGGTAACTATGGCTTGGAGGTATTCGGAGTCTCAGAGCTCACAACCGCGTCTGGACAGCACAGCGATCGGAGAGCTCTGGTGTTATTTCTCCTGCAATTCCAAGATTTATAAGTTTCCCGGTGCCTGAAACCAACTGTGATGCAGGTGTATGGCAGCAGTAACAGGGCGAATGCTATTCACGCAATGGTTTTCTTTGGCTTTGCCGACAAGTGATAATATATACAAAAAAATTTGCATATTCATAAACATGAAAAAAATGCCTATGTGGATGAAATGTTGTTTGGTGGACAAGTTTGAAAAGAAAGATATGTTGCAGAATAAGCTCTTCTGAGACTCGATTTTTACCGTCCCCCAAAAATACTTTTAGCTTTCCTTATAGGCTTACTTGAAACATTGTACATAACATGATTTAGGCCTACTTTTAACACTGTTCGTACAAGGCCTCACAACGTCAAATAATCAACGTTGTACATTAACTTTATTAACATGATTAGCTTAATTCTCTTTACTGTATAAATTTATCGGTTAAACCGCATTATTTTTCATAGTGGAAAGAAACACATTGCGTTACACAGTCTCTGGAAACAGTACATAATATTGGTACAGAAAATAAATAATGAATATAATTATTTTCCTCATCAACGCATAAACGTAGTGATAAGTGTTCTGCAAATAATTTTTTTGTATTGTAATTCCAAGTGTTGGTGTGGTTATTAAGCTCCAGGAATGGTGAAGGCTCGGTACTCCTTCCACTAAGACCAGTCAGGCTACTGCACATCGTCAACACTTGGCTCGTGTTCACTGTTACCACAGCAGCAGAGGAGAGTTATTTCTTGTGATAAACTTTCTTATTCTTTTCTTTTCTTTCTATTCTCTCATTTCCTTTTCCCTTTCCTCTCCCTCCTCTTGTATCACTTTTTTCATGTGTTCGTTGCAGCACCGAAGTCGGTGACCTGCCAGGTGCATTTAATATTCTCTGTACACACACACACACAGACACACACACACACATATATACATATATATATATATATATATATATATATATATATATATATATATATATATATATATATTATATATATATATATTATATATATATATATATATATATATATATATATATATATATATATATATATATATATATATATATATATATATATATATATATATAGGGAAGTACCACCTCTATAGCTGGAATGGGGACCCTCATCCTCAGAGAAGACAATAAACGTACCTCAGGGAAAACTCAAGGTTCTCCCCGGAGCTGTTTGAATATTTTCTTCTCCTACCACCCCCTATATTTATATTCTATGTGAACATTTATTAATAAACAAAATACATTTACAGAAAAAAACATGAACATGAATACAATGGCACAATGTATCAAAGATGATGAATTTCCTCCAGCTCCTCCGAGGCTGGACGTGAACCAAGTATGCAGCAAGCATTTCCCCTCTGGATGGCGACGCTGAGGCGCTGGAACATGAAAGTGGCTGCCCTGGGGTCCCTGGTGGTGTCGATGAGTCTGGAACCCAATTCTTTAAGGAAACGTGTGGCATTTTTTCCCCATGATCCCAAGGTCTCTGATCCCACTGGGACAAATTGATACTGTTGGCTAATGTCCCTGTACTTGCTGATCTTGTACTCCTCCCTGTGGTCAGCAGCTCCTCCCTGTCGCCCCACACTGTGATGGATATAGGTTTCAGCCAGTGTGGACACACAGGTATAGTCCCATGCTAAGAGCTTGCCATTCTTCCAAGGATAGATGGTGATCCCGTCGGGGCGGTTTGCTGGGTTGTGGGTATTGTTTGCTGCAAGTGATCGTGGCTCCCTCTCGGCAGGGCATCCAGCTGTAGCAAGGGTTCTCTTAATGATGTCGTTGACCTCATTGTGTCTTGCATGCCAGCACTTGGTTTTGGAACAGTTAAGACCATGTAGACCGTATTGGTCTGCTTGCACTTCGCCGCAAATACACATATATTCTGTGTGAATTGGGGCAGCAAGGCGCAGAGCCACTGCAATACGGAGGGTCTTAGGGTCGAGTCGCGTTCCCATTGCCGATATGGGAACTGTTTGGAGGAAGTCCCCGGAGTGAGGTGCACTCACAGCCTGGAGACGGGCAATCTCCCTATCTGATGTTGCAGCCCTGAGCATGTTGGCAAGCACCTTTTCAGCAATTGGGCTATCCCAGCTTGACTGTTTGTGAGCCAGTGCTGCACTAGGGTTTGGTGCTGGAGCAGCAAGAGTCTCCCATTCGGTGATGGCACTGACATAGCTAGGGTCTTCTATTCCTGCTGAGTCACTGAGGGTGTCAGGAAGAATTTGTCTTATCAACTCGTTTGATGCAATGGAAGAGGATAGGAAAGCTGGTAGAGCAATCTGGGAGGATCTGCGTACTCCTAGCCCTCCAAGCCTGACCGGAAGTGAGGTTATATATATATATATATATATATATATATATATATATATTATATATATATATATATATATTATATATTATATATATATATATATATATATATTATATATATAATATTATATATATATCATTCTGAACCTAACGAAAAAAATATATTTCACTGTGTTTGTTTAGTATTAAATTATTGTAAACAAATCTAAAATATATTTAGTTGGGTTAGGCTAAAATAAATTGTTCTTGTTATAATAAGGTTAGGTAAGTTTTCTAAGATTCTTTTGGTGCAAAATTAAAAAAAATTACATTAACATTAATGAAAAAATATATCTTTAAACGTATAGGAGAAAATTTTAGAAAGGACTTAATTTTAAATGAGTTCTTGCTAATTGACCAGTTTTACATATTCGGCACGACACACACACACACACACACACACACACACACACACACACACACATATATATATATATATATATATATATATATATATATATATATATATATATATATATATATATATATATATATATACATATATATATATATATATATATATATATATATATATATATATATATATATATATATATATATATATATATATATATATATATTACTGTAATCACGGAACGAGTGGTATTGATCAATAACAACACTACACTAACGAAGGAGCTGAAAACATCATTCTTTGGCCCGTCTCATAGTGAGCGAAAACGCATGACGCCTTAGATCACTGGACCACACAATCCTTAGCAATGGTGCATCTAGCCAAGCTAGATGTTGTACCCACCATCGATGGACTTACGGTGGTGTGGACGTCTTTGGGCTAATTTCATTCTACTCTCTGTTCTGTAATACATTGTTCTCCTCTGGGACTTAGTAACTATGAGTTCTAAGCTTCATGGTTTGGTAATGAAAAATTTGATGGTGTAGGTTGTCAAGAAACCTTCCAGATTCTGTAGAGATGATGAACCAGCAAGGCTGGATCAAGTAGTTTATATCATCGACTTGAACATACACCAAATCGATTACGGTGTTTCTCTCAGAGCAAGTAATCTCTGTATACTGACATTTTGTTACTCAGAGGAAATGAAATTGAGATTAAGGTTCAAGAAACCAGTAATCTAGAAATGTGACTACAGTGGTCTGTGAAGATTCTTGGCCAGAGTAGAAACACTGGGCGTGTTTCTTTCCACCTGTTGTTTATGTTCCCCATCAGTAAAATGGGTACCTGGGTATTAGTCGACTGGTGTGGGTCGCATCCTGGGATACTAACCTAATTTGCCCGAAATGCTGAGCATAACAAGGGACTTTCTATATAGCAGTATGTCAGTTTAGTTTAATATGTTTATTATGCACCCCATACCCATCCTGTGGGCGGTAGTCAAAAGGTTACAGAGGTAAATAATTGGTCCAGGGACTGGATTCCAAAATTTTGATAGCTGAGCAAGTTACAAAGGTAATGAATTCACAATTTACAAAGGTAAGGAACTCCAGGTAGGTCTGGTCACAATCATGACAAGTTACAAAGGTATTTACAGATTACAGAGGTACGTAATGGGTCCAGGGACTGGGCCCCCAAAGTTTTGATGGCTGAACTAGGTACAAGGTAATGAACTCACAAGTTACAAAGGCAATGAATCCTGTAAGAATGGTTACTTACGTTTATACATGGCTACAATCATGAACAAATTATAGTGTAATGAGCAATTCACACTTCCACACCCGGTCACAACTGTAGTGAGTTATTGGTGCAAATATTAATTGTTGAGTCACACACACACACACATACAAATTCATACACACACACACACACACACATAAACACACACACACACACACACACACACACACACACACACACACACACACACACACACACACACACACACACACACACACACACACACACACACACACACACACACACACACAGGAACAGTCTATAGTTTTAAGGCGAGGTATGATAGAGCTCATGGAGCAGGGAGAGAGAGGACCTAGTAGCAATCAGCGAAGAGTCGGGGCCAGGAGCTGTGACTGTCATTGATGTCAGCTATGGTCTGTATACCTTGTACATGTACTTACATCCTAAACATAAAATTAGAATATAAAGACATTTGATCTTATATACTGATTTTTCTCCTTAAGGGTCTTTTTTTAGTATATAATTTTTTCCCGAGAGATACCATCACGAGAGGGAGGTTTATTTCAGCCAGTAAGTGAGTGATCTGGACTAGAGATGGCAGCTTGATTTAACAGCTAATATATTTACGTTTTTTATGTGGTAATCATTCACAATTTCCATTTTTTTTATTGCAAATTCATGTTTACGCATCATCTATTAATCCCTTACAAAATATAGAAAGTATAGAACTCAAAAGTATCGGAGCTGCAAGGAAGGAGATCACGAGACAGATTTTTGCTTCCTCAGAGAGAATGTGAAAAATGATTGAGAATGTAAACAATGTAGATAATGACTTTCTTAACCTTGTTTCCTTCTAGGATGGGTCAAGAATAACTTCTTTCCTTCTAGGATGGGTCAAGAATAACTTCTTTCCTTCTAGGATGGGTCAAGAATAACTTCTTTCCTTCTAGGATGGGTCAAGAATAACTTCTTTCCTTCTAGGATGGGTCAAGAATAACTTCTTTCCTTCTAGGATGGGTCAAGAA